AAGCCTTCTTCTGACCGTTTTGTGCACAAAGCACGCATATGGTGCATATACACATATGCAATCAAAACATTCATACGTATAAAAGTTTTTAAAAAATCTTTAATGATCCATCACTGTGCTGTCAAATGAAATTACATTGGAAATGCAGATGTTAGCTAGCTTTTTGTTGCTTTTGTTTTTCAAGACAAAGTTTCTTTGTGTAGTCTTAACTGTCTTGGAACTTGCTCTGTAGACCAGGCTGGCCTCTAGTTCACAGAGATCCACCTGCTTTTGCCTTTGAGTGCTTGTATTATAAAATTGTGTACCACCAGTGTCTGGCACAGATGTTAGCTAGCTTTCCTAAAAATCTTTCATCCTGTGAAATCTGCTCAAATTTTTCGTTTGCTTGTTTTTTTAAACTTATTTTTATAGTATAATGGAGCCCAAGAAACAAAGTCCAGTGTTTGAAGGACTCCAAAAGAACTTCTGTTCATTCAAGAAAGTTGACATTTTGCTCTCAGTCTTGGCAATGGGGTCTCACATATGGAGAAGGATGTCTAACAAGGCCTGTTGCAGTTATATTTCCCACGTGGTCTTGGAAAACTTTCTAGCCAACTATCAGCTCTTTGGTTTTTCAAGACAGGGTTTTTCTGTAGCTTTGGAGACTGGGACTCACTCTGTAGACCAGGCTGGCCTCGAACTCATAGAGATCCTCCTGCCTCTGCTGGGATAAAAGGCATGCACCACCACTGCCCAGCTGTAACACCTGATTCTGTGTTACCCCCTTGATACAGTTCGCATGCCACTGTACCGTATGCGAGCCGGGCAAGGGCCTGGAGATGGAGGGAACACACAAGAGACCTGGGTCATTTGAAAGGAGATCAGCCGAATACCCTTTATTCAGCCTTGGGGAAATCCTTATGTACTGCCCAAGGATTTCCACCCAGGCAGGTGGGAAATTACCACACCATAGCCGGAGTAAACAATGCCCTACAGCTAATCACCAGGCGGGGGCAGAGAGAGCACTGGAACAAACAGAATGTTTTAGTTAGCTGACCAGAAACTGTCCTCAAGATGAGCCCTAGGAACAGGGGTAGACCCGGGCCCTACACCCAGCTTCAGCTATCAACTCTTATTTGGTCATATCTGTTGTTACCTTGCAAAGTCCATCAAGCTTTTAGGAGGATGTTCCTTCAATGCCAGGCTCCAAACAGTCTTCATGTAAAAGTTCCAGGATATGCTATACTAGATGATAGTAAACAAATCACAGATGAGCCCTAGACAAGGGGGTGCATGCCAAATTCCAGTACTTGATGGCAAATATGTGTACCCACTGAGCCAGCTTTCTGGTCCCTAATCTCAGCACTTGGAATGTCAAACTAGAAGGACACAGTTTGAGGTCAGCCTGGGCTACAATGTGAGACTGTTTGAAAAGAACAGAGGCTGGGGGTTGGTGAGAGATGGCTCAGTGATTAAAAGCTCTTGCTCTGCAGTCTTAAGGACCAGAGTTTTAATCTCATCACCATATAACAAGCTGGGTTCCCTGCAAATGCCGTGGACTCCAGCTTTAGGAAGTTGGAAGACACTACATAATGGCAATGGCCTCTGTGCTTCTAGATGTGTGCAACTGCGCACACATACATGCACTTAAGCAGATACATACATTCAAATAAGTGACTAAAAGAATACAAATTACAGGGGCTGGAGAGGTGGCTCAGAGGTTAAGAGCATTGCCTGCTCTTCCAAAGGTCCTGAGTTCAATTCCCAGCAACCACATGGTGGCTTACAACCATCTGTAATGGGGTCTGGTGCCCTCTTCTGGCCTGCAGGCATACACACAGACAGAATATTGTATACATAATAAATAAATAAATAAATATTT